TCCAAGGTTTGTCTATTGTTGGTGCTGCTATAATGTCAAAGTATTGTGATCTCTGTTTGCTCTAGATGGAGCAAATTAGAGTTCTATTAGATCTTCAGACTCCCTGCTCTTCAGGGGGCCTCCACTGCTGCCACTGTTCATCTGGCTACATTTTTAGACTATTCATGAAGTTCACCTCATTATGTTGGACAAACTTAACCTGCTTTGCAGGTTCACCACAGATTCTGCTGGCAGATAACCCAGTATTTGTTTTCATTAGCATCCATATCATGCTTCTGAACAGCATGACACTGTTTCTTTTCTTGTTTCTTTGGAGAAGGAATAATTTATTTTTGGATAAGGACCAAAGCTGGCCTAAAATATGAAGATACCAGAGTTGCTTAGTTTATGAGAACAGTACCTTGGCCATGTGTATATTTTTCTGTATGCTGTGACAAGAGATGACATCTCCCTTGTTTATCGACTTCCATATATGTGGTTTTGTTTTGTTTTTTTCCAGACAGTTTCTACATCCCTCTGTATTCTTTTTAAAAGAATAGCAGGGACTCTTTATTACGTCTCTGCTCTATCTTTCAGATGCAGTATTTGCACAAGTATGTATTATCTGTATTGGTAAGAGTCAAAATACATGTATGAGATCCAGTGGTGAATTTAAATTAATTAACACACCGTTCCTTATATGGAGAGGATGTACAAATGTGGCAATGAAGTTTGTGTTGAAGAATTCTCATCCTGTGTAGGTCAAGGGCACAGCTTGCATTCAGTAATGTGAATATGCATTTTGCTTGCTCAGTGCCCTAAACTAAGATAGGAGGTTCTTAACAGGACACTGGCTCTTTTGCCAAATAAGCAAAGTTGAGGCAGTAGCTCAACTATTCCCATAATTATTTTTAGAGATGGTCAGAAACTGAAAAAGTTCATCTCTGTAATAATGCAAATAGTGATGTAAAAGATCCTGCACAATCACTTTAGTAATAAGTCTTTTCAAAAGACTACAATATTGGCCTGTCTGAGTAACCTGGAAAATGTTACACCAAAATGTGTAGTTTTCATTGTGTACATACTGAAGTATGCCCACTTGAATGGTGGAGGATGACTTCTTTATTGCTGGCCTACATACTGTAGTCTTGACAGACCCTTCCTGTCCAAAAGTATTTTGGTTGTCTAGGTATTGACTTGGAATCAGTCTTTCTAAACAATGTATGCAATTTGTTGCCCCAAGGAGTTGTGATGGTAACTAACATAGATGGCTTTAAAATTAAATAAAATAAGTTCAGGAAGGATAAAGTCAGTTAATTTGGTTATAGGGAATGTCCTAGTTCAGAGAAGAGATACTTCAAAATAACAGAAGCTGAAAAGCAATGGCATTTTGTGTTATTATTGTCATGCCATGCATGTAGGTCTCCTAGAACATCTGACTGATTATTGAGGGACGCATGATGCTGGGCTAGTTGTGCTTTTGATCTAATTTGATAGAAGTTTTTGTATCTCCTCAATCTTATGAATGCAGGTGAATATCTTTGAATTTCTCTCTGTTCTCTAATTATGTGCTGTGCACATGTCCTTCTGAAGGAGGATAAGCATAGAAATATCAAGTGTTTGATCACACCAGCAAAAGTTGGGATGGTTCCACAGCCTGAGGAATAAAACATGCACTTAAAAGATTAGTGTTTCCCTAAATAATTATTTTTAAAATGGGGATAATCACTTAGATGGCAATGGAGATAAATTCATTTTGTTTTTCAATCTCCCTTTTGGAGATTGTTGGTGTTTTGGAGGGAAGAGATCAGCTTAAATTGAGGACTGTTTTTCTTTTGCCTAATATAGTAGTCATTGAACTGTTTGGATGAAGCCAGTTGCAGAACTTGTATCAGTGTATATGTTTCTTGGGTTACATGTTTTTTTTCTATGTCTTTTTCTCATTGGATGTTGTGAGTCCAGGATTCCACACTTGTTGGCACCTAAATATCCATGTTCCAAATGGTTAGGATGGTTTTTGTACTATAGAAAAATCATGGCCCTATAGCAAGTTTCATTTTGAATGTAAGGTTAACTGTTAGGGAGGATATGTTGAAGAAATGTAGAAGAAAAGGAGAAACAAGGAAAACCTAAAGAGATGATAGATAGATAGATAGATAGATAGATAGATAGATAGATAGATAGATAGATAGATAGATAGATAGATGCTAATAAAGGAGAATATTTGTAGTTCAGGATTGCCATGAGGGGCCCTTGGTGCTCTCTGAATTTACTTGTTTCCTTGCAGAAGTTTCATTATGCAAACTAAGTAACATCATCAGATGCTAGCACTGATGATGATGCCTAGTTTGGATAATGAAATGTCTGCAAGAAAACAGGAAGCTCAGAAAGCACCAACGACCCCTCAGATGGATGATAGTCTAACCTCTAGGTGGAAGCAAAGTAACATAAACCAATTGCTGAAAGAAGGCCCAAGGGCCATCTCCACCAAGGGTTTATGGTACAAAAAGCATATGCCTCAGTCTCAAACTTAGTGTGCTATCACAGATCATTCTCACAATGCAAAAAACAAGACATAGGCCTTGCATACGTTATAACTGGGTAACTTGTCATCTAGTCTTCACCTGCTGAAATTTGCTCTTTATATAAGGGTTTAGGAACCTATTCTCTTTTACATTTGGCCATTGCATCAAATACCCACAAGTAGTATGAAACAATCTGTCATCTAACCAGGTGTGGCTCACTTTTGGGGGGGTGGAAGCTGCTTGTATATATTATTACTTTTAAAGCAGCCAGATTTTTGGGTTGTCAGTAAAAGTATATTTCTGCAGCAACAGATGTATATAGAACTGCCATCCCCATTACTTATTTTATTTGAATTTTTTAAATATTCGGGCTTTAATCCTTAACTTAAAGTATCAGAACCAGTCCAGATTCTTCCTAAGACAATCAACAGCACATATGCATTTCATTCTATATAATTTAAGGCTAGAACTTAGTTTGTTTTCTGTTTCTCTGTGGCATTCATTTATCAACTGGTTCAGTAGTCTACACTTTAAGCATATCTGTTTTGGATGATTCTTACAAGCCTTTTCACTGTTTTGAATTTATCTCATTTAATGCACTTCTGTTGTGAGATTTCCAGCTCCAGTTATTGCCAGGGTCTGTCCAAAACATGAAAAATATGTGTGTAAAAGCATTTTTTTACATATATGGCTACTTTTATTTTTTGAAATTGGTTCACTAGACTAGAGTGAAAATTTTAAGAGTGAAAATTGAAATACTTCCTGTATTTCAAATCCCAATACTCTGACCTCATCTAACACTTTACTTGAATCACTTCCTGCAACTGGCTTTGCAGTATGTCCTCCAGAAAAGTGGAAAATTGAAAGTAACATAATTGACAAAGCATTTCATTCACATTTTATTCCAATTTCCAAGAGAGTTTAATGGAAGTTCCTGAAAACATATATAATTATTATTGCAGAAAAAGTGGATATAAAGTACATGTCTTCCTGCAGATCTAGGGAGAGAACAACTCAACTGTTAGAAGTGACTGGAACTACTTAGAAATCAAATGCTTAGTTGGACTTATTTTATTCAAATGTGTCCCTCAATTTCTTTCTGTACTGTAGACATATTCAACTAGGAGTGAAAAGTTGCAATGGAAGAAGGTGAGGCTGTTACCTGACTAAACCTTGCCTAATTCAGCTAAACCTCTAAAAACAAGCCCCACAAAAGAGAAACCAATGGGAAAAAGCATAAATGTGGTAGGATTTTCTCCTTGATGTCAAAAGAACATGCCATTGCAATATTGCCTTCTTATAGCAGTTTGCAACTACATATAGTGCCCCAGCATCCTGAGATTGCAGCACTGAAATCTGGCAGCAAAATAGCTGAAATGTTGCTAGAGAAATTTTAGTCCATTTTTGGACATTTTCTGGGGATTTAAGAATAAAAGTTTTCCAGCTTTTCTTCTGAAACTTCCCACATCTGCTGGGTCTTTGCAGCATCCAGGTCCAATGGCATTTAGCAGTGTAAAACTCAGCACTTCCAATCAGATGCAGAGGTAGCCATTAGCGGAAGCTGCTAATTAATGCACCATTTTCCCTTTTATTTCAGAAGAGGCATTATAATAGATGAAGTCTGCGAGTCAACAAATTTAAAGGGACATCATTAAACATAGTCATAAATTGTACCACTCATCAAACTTCTATAATAATAATAATAATAAAGTTGGAAGGGACTTAGAGGTCATCTAGTCCAACCCCCTGCTCAGGCAGGAAACCCTACACCATTTCGGACAAATGGCTGTCCAGTTTCTTCTTAAAAACTTCCAGTGTTGGAGCATTCACCACTTCTGGAGGCAGGTTGTTCCACTGGTTAATTGTTCTAACTGTCAGGAAATTTCTCCTTAGTTCTAGGTTGCTTCTCTCTTTGGTTAGTTTCCACCCATTGCTCCTGTCCTGCCTTCAGGTGCTTTGGAAAATAGCTTGACTCCCTCTTCTTTGTGGCAGCCCCTGAGATATTGGAACACTGCTATCATGTTCCCCCTCGTCCTTCTCTTCATTAAACTAGACATACCAAATTCCAGCAACCGTTCCTTATATGTTTTAGCCTCCAGTCCCCTAATCATCTTTGTTGATCTATGTATTTGGTACTTCTCACATAGATATAGATCATGGGGCAGGACAAGTCTTAAGACAGAAAGGGGTAGAAGATGTAGATGTAGATCCTATTCCTATTGTTACTAGTTCCATAAAGTATGCTTAGTCCTGTATCTCCCAGTCTTCTCATCTCTATCAGAGACCTTCCACTAGAAGGAAGATGGTTGAGCAAGGAAGAAAAGCACTGCTTCCATAGCTCAAGCAGTCAACAGGAGAATATTTTTTCTAAGCATGCAAGTCATCTTCAAATAGGTCTAAATTCTCAATATTTAACAGGAAGGGAAACTATCACAGGAGGAAACTGAAGAGCCTTCTAACCAAAATATCCCTTTCTACCTATTTTCTTTTCTTTAGGCAAAGATATTCCATATTTCATCCAAAGGATAAGCTAAATTTAAAAACAACACATAATTTGCGTAGAGGGCAAAATTCAGCCTTTTTTTTAGAAGGTGAGTTAAATCTATGGCTGTACCGTTCCAAAAACAAAAGAGAATGGCAGAATGGGAAACCCCACTCAAATAAAGCCATTCATAAATTAGCTAACAATTTGTTTCCTACCAGAACCAAAATAGAAGGAAATCTCCAATTTCATTGCTAACTATCATTCCCAAAGGTAACAAAAGCGGCCCAAAGATTTACCCTAATCCTCTATGTACAGAGTTGGAACTCTGCAGTCCTATGTCACCATAAATTAATTCAAAAGCAGTCTAATCCTAATTCCTGGAGATATGAATAAAATAAGACTGCTTTTATGACAGCATTCTTCAGTTGGACGCCATGCATAGAATTATAGAAATGTGGAATTGGAAGAAGGCATCTTGTTAACTATCTACAATGTACAAGAAAATCAATTATCCAGTCTTTGAATGTTGGCTTTCTACTTTCTTTCTAAAAGCTTCCAAAGATCAAAAGCATAGCCTTTCAACTGTTGTACAGTTCTTATTGTCAAGAAGCTTTTCGTTATATTTAAATTAAATCTACTGCAACTTATATCCATTGTTTCTGGGTTCTAGGTTTTGTGGCAATGGAAAAGCACATTCAGTTTCAATATCAAGACTGTAGTGGTTAATAATCATGCCAAAAGAAATACCTGACATTGGTTCTGGAAAAGGGATATGTTCTTAATATTGCATGGTTGACCTGTTCGTTTTATTACCATAATGTTGTGATAGTTACAAATCTGGATGGGTTTCAAGGAGATTGGATACATTTTGGAAGCATCTGATTGGCCACAGTGAGAAACAAAAATGCAGAACTAAAGATGATCCATCAAGACTGTTCTAATAAAAATACTATATGGAAAATGAAGTAAGCTAGCATCACCTTGAATGAGGTCATGGTATTGATTGTGATATTAAAAACCAATTCTAGTGATGAAATACAAAACATAAAGACTGAAAAACTAAGTTATAATCTTTTTTTATGACCAGCAAGCAACTAATTGATCAGTGCTGATTAGCTGTTCAGAATAAATATTCCAGTAAAATCTTAACAGGAAACAAAAGAGAATAACTTAACTACAGTGATACCTTGGTGCTCAATTGCTTTGAAACTCATCAAATTTGTTACTCAATACACAAACTAGAACCTATTGGTGTTGGCTATCTTGTAATTCATTACATTGTTCCTTATTGGAAAAAAAATGTTTGGAACTCATCTTTTTGGTACTCATTGTGCCTCTTGGAACCAATAAATGATGAATACTGAGATACCACTGTATTATTCAGTGTACCTCAACGAAAATGTAGGTTCAGTACCAGGAAATAGTGAAAAACAGGAGGAATGACAGGATTGATTCCTGAAATTGATAAAAATAATAAAGGGCTATTTGTTTACTTCCAGGTTAAATCTCAAAGGCCAGATGAATTGCATCCTAGAGTTCTGAAAGAATTAGTTTAACTTAATTTTTATGTTTTGGTCTTAAAAAATCTGAAGAATTTTAAAGTGTTAAATGAATAGATGAGCATGAATATTATGAACTTCAGAAATCGGGGAAAAGAAGATCAGCAAAGTACAGATCAGACTGATGTGGAAAGATTCTAGAGGAGATTATAAATGGCTCTATCTGTAAGCACTTGAAAAGTGTAGTAATATTGTCGATAATAAGTTTTGATACACAAAAATTAATTTTTATTGACTTCCTTGACATGTGAGAATGCTATAGACATTGTATGTTTTGATTTCAGCCAAGCAGAGCATCTTCTGACATATTGTGTACATCCTGCATTACAAAATGCTGGATGGAATATTTGAGGAAGGCAGACTCTAATTGAATGTTACAAAAAACTTCCCAAACAGTTCAGTTTGAGAGTAGAAACAGATATTTGGAGGGGATACCCAAATGGAACTCAGACAAGTGATGTATTAATTTGAATGGTTGTACTGGATAGGGAGTTGGACTTCTCGACCTAAATGGTCTCTTCTAAAAATTTAACTCTGGTCTTTTTTTATGACAAAGGGGTAAGGAGGAGAACTTTAGAATCAATCTTGTTAAATTATTACATTCTTTTGCTTATAAAATAATTTCCAAATGTTTTTCTTGCGACATTTTATAAGTGTTTAATGCTGCATTATTTTAACATTGCTATATTGGTTCAGTAAGAATACATTTTCTAAATAAAAGAGAATTTGAATACTTCCCAAGCTAATTGACATCTTGAGCTGCTCATCAACTGACCACCATTAAAGGATTAAAGAAAATTTTATCTCCACCTCACTGGCTCCTCTGGACAATCATTATTCAGTAAGTCTTCTTTGCTTTGAACACAACCTTCTATGTATATTTCATACTTTAGGACCAATTCCAAGGTTGGCCTTTCATATGGCTCTTACTTCCCTCCCAGTATTAAATTAATTCCCTCAATGGAAATTTCTTGTCTGATCTTTTTTTCTTTAAGATTCACTGGGGCATAATAATTGCACTTATTGCTTCATGGGATCAGCAAGCTTAGTTGGGATCACAGGCATTTTTTATTCTATTTTTCTATTCCTGATTCTGTTAATAGATATTTGTGAGAGATTAGCAGTGATTCCCAAAATGCTTCCTCACCTAAATAAATGGGTGTCTTGTATATAAAGTATGTAATAACTTCAGCCTGTTAGTGTCTCCTGCCACTTGATGTTCCAACCAGGAGCTCGGGAATCTGCATTCTTCCACTCTGAGAAACTGGACAATCCTACCTTTTATTTCTAGAGGAAGCATAAGTAATTAAGGATGGTTTCAGTAAGCTCAAAAAACCAAAATTTTGCAGACCAATTCCAGAAAAGCCATTAGGTCTTTGGGATTCAGTTGCCTTTCCCTCCATTCTATTTATCAGGTATGCTTCCTAGAGCAATCGCAGAAGTCAACATTGGTTAAGGAAGGAAACTATTCATGTTCTTTATAAATCTTCCTTCGTTATGTTTCATAATTACATGAAACTGAAAATAATTATTTTTAGACTTCCAATTTAAGAACTCTTTACCTGATTAATCAAATTAGCATGCAAATAAAAATAGCTGTTTGGGGAAAAAATTGTTTGAAATGGTGGGAATATGTGTCACAGCAAAAACCATCTTTCACAGAGGTATTTCGAACTGTTTGAGCAAGTGTGAGAATGTGTCATCCTCCAATTATTGCTGAAATACAGTTCTCCATTTAACTTAGTTAGCATGACTAGTGATGAAGGATACTAGGAATTCTGGTTCAGCAACATGTGGAGGATCTCTCTCCCTTGCTTAAGGGAGAAAGGACATTCCCCTTGTTATGATGTTTGGTGACTCCTTGAGGTTGTTGGGAGAATGTGGTAGATCTTTCTTTGCTAGCTTGGGGAGCCTGGAGTCCTTGAACAGGATGAGAAGATGCTTCTCAAATTTGCTGAGTCTCAGCATGATATGCTTGGCTGCTATATTCAGCATATGCCCCATTACCATTGTGTGTAATCCCTTTGTTTCAATATATAGATTTCTATATACTGTAGAGATTTAACATATTTGAGGGAGCAGAGTTTCCACTGACATGCTTTGCAGAGAAATTGAACTGGACTGAAATGGATGACAAAAAGGCTCACTTTAAAAAAATTTAGACCAGACGTCAAACTCGCGACATCATGTGATGTGCAACGTAGTGGGACGGTTTTGCCATTGCCGGCAATGGGGTGGGTGCAGCTTCCGGATGACGCGTCCGACCCATGGGCTGGCAGTTTGACACCCCTGATTTAGACAAATGGCATAAAAAATGCCTTTTTATGAACTTTTCTCCATTGTTTTAAAAAAAGGAAGTGGCCAAGTGGCATTTGTGAGCTTCAAAATCATTATGTTATATACATACAGTGGAAGCAATAAAAAGTGAAGAATCTTTCTGGTTCCTTTTTTCTTTTGTCCTTCCATGAAGGACTACTGTATGTAAGCTGCTGTCTCAGCAAAACAGTTGCTCTTAGTACCTTATGTAAATAAGCAATTTGTTAGTTATAGGGAAAGGTTCCTTTGAAAACCTAGGAAATTAGGATAACTCTTCTTGGTTATTTTATTATTGTAAAGATAAGTAAATAAAATTGGAAGTTCCCTGTTATGTAATTTCTTTGTCAAATTACTTGCCAGCTGATCTGAGTACATGGTTTTTAAAAAGCTGCACTTGGTGTTGCTGTATTTTAAAGGAATTGTGCATAACAATCTAGTTTTTGGGATGTCCAATTTTTGGCTTCCAAAAAACCCCATTTAGAAGGCCCAGAAATTATGAATTCTAAAACTGCTCCCTAGATTACTGTAGAAAACATCTGCAGTAGCAGATGAGGGAAAGCCTCCTGTTTATATTGATTAAGAGTCAATTCCACTCATATTCTAAAACATTTCCCACGTGATCTATGTATCACTTATCTACCTTCTTCAACCAAATGCTCTCTGAATGTACTAGCCTTCAAAACCCATAGTTCTTAGCTAGCTTGGCCAGAACACTAAGCTGGTGAAGGCTGATATAACCTACAAAAATGGGATCAGCAAAGCTTATGCAATGCCACTAAACCCTTGCTTATAATGTTGCACATCTATCTATCTATCTATCCATCCATCCTTCCATCCATCCAAAAACTCATTCTTGTAACCTTTAACTGTGAAATAGTGCATGATGGAGCAATAATTTTTGAACCAAGGTACCTGAAATAGGCTGATTTAAAGAATATATCCAAAATCCAGGAGCCATGACTCCTGTGAAATTGAAATTTGGCAAATTTTTAAAAATATTTTATGACATAAAAATATAATTAAATAATTCATGACATAATACAAAATGTCATAAAACATTTCCTGTGCTGCTGAATGCACTATAGAGTTCAACATGGGCTAGTTTCAAGGCTGATATGTCTCTGAATGTACCCCAATTTTTCCAGTGAAGTCAGTATATTAGAGGTTTGTCGTTGAAGAGATTGAGGAATCTAGTAAGGAAATACCGTTAAAAGGATGACCCAGTGGTCACAAGTTGTTTAGTACAGAGGTCCCCAATCTTTTAGGCACCGGGGACCAGTTACGTGGAGAGAGGTTTTTCCACGGACTGGAGGGGGCATGGTTTTGTGTGCTGCCTGCATCCTGTGGTTTTCCTTGTTTGTGTGGACCGGTTGCTGGCATGCCAAGGCCTGGTACAGGTCCACGGACCGGGGGTTGAGGACCCCTGGTCTAGTATACTACTAAAATTCTAATTCCTGTAACTTTTCACTGCACGATACAGTGTACCACAGTGAACCAAGTGTACCTTTTTTGAACCAAGGTATTTCAAATGAGCTAACTTACAGAATATGTCCAAAATTCAGGATCCATGACTCCTGTGGAATGGAAGTTTGGCAAATTTTATAAAACATGACAAAAACATTATTCTAAGGTCTTTATTACATTATACAAAATGTCATAAAACATTTCCTGTGCTGATGTTTGACTGTGCTACACAGTTCAACATGAGCTATTTTCATTCCAACTTTTCCAGTGAAAGCAGTACTTTAGAAGCTCTGTCATCGTTGAGGGCATTTAGGAATCTAGTGAGGAAGTATCCCTGAAATAATGACCCAATGAGGCATGGATTGTCTAGCCTCTTCCTAATTGTGAGCTGTATTAGCCCTTGTAGCATTTGAGGAACTTGAAGCTTAATTTAAAGGCAATATGAAACTTGTTGGATTTCAACTGTTCTAATGAGAATTAATTTGAACATTTAGATGTTTTGCTAATGATATTTTCATAGCTATCATATCAATACATAATTTTGGATTATTGGTGGAGAACAGGCTCTTCCGTTTTGGTCTTTCTGATTCACACATAATGGGTTCTGTATTGTAGAAATTATAGGTAGTCCTCAGCTTACAACAGTTCATTTAGTAACCATTCAAAGGTACAACGGCACTGAAAAAAGTGACTTACGACTGTTTTTCAGAGTTACAACCTTTGCAGCATCCCCACGATCATGTGATCAAAATTCAGATGTTTGGCAACTGGTTCATACTTATGACCGTTGCTGTGTCCCAAGGCCATGTGATCCCCTTTTGCAACCTTCTGACAAGCAAAGTCAATGGGGAAGCCAGATTCACTTAACAACTGGGTTACTAACTTTTTAACTGCAGTGATTTACTTAACAATTGTGGCAAGAAAGGCCGTAAAATTGGGCAAGACTCACTTAACAAATGTTTCACTTAACAACAGAAATTTTGGGCTCAGTTGTGTTCATAAGTCAAGGACTATCTGTATGACTTCAAATCCTATTTGTTCTTACTTTGCCTGTATATTTGGATGTGAGGTTTTCATTCAGCCTGCGTTGCTTTTTCAGCACCCTTTCAGAATGCTGGCTAGATGGTCATGTGTGCTCTACTTAATTTTTCTGGAGAAAAGAACCTAGTTGAGAGTTTTGTCAAGCTTCTACTTAATAAGTCAATAGAAATCACTCCTCATGCATTTTGTTGGAACAAGCTCTCACTATGGATAACTGTAGCTACTTTCTTGATGAATGCTGTGACATTCCAAATGCTTTGCCAATCTCATATTCTGTATCAAATCCAACCACTACTATGATAACAAATGCACAAATTCAATCAACCAGATGCCATGGGGTTAAGACCAATGACTGCACTGTCCCCAATAGGTCTCAATAATTAAGTAGGAAGCTGTGATATATCCTTCTATATATATGTAAGAATTAATGAAACCAAGTATCAGAAGACAAAGAATAAGCAATTTTTTAATAGTTTTCTTGCTGGACTCCATTTCATGACCTTGTGAGTGATTTTTGTCATTTACATTATTTGAATGAGGACCTTGCTGTCTATACCAAATAAGTTTCAATGACCCTTTAATACCTTTGTGATTAGAGCTTGTATATAACTGCTTGTATTGGATTGTTTGATTATTGTATTTCTCAAAGAAAATCAAATGGACTCAGATAACATACAATCTCTTCCATTTTGGGAAACTCTGCATTATCAGGGTGTTTTCTGGATTTGCCAATTTTTATCATAATTTGTTCCCAGTTTTGCTCTATTAACTACTGATTCATCTTACCAAGAAGATAGTTCTCTTTAAGTCCATGTATGACATCCCCAGGCCTTTATTTTACTTAGAGCAGAATGGCCGAACCCATGTGGTAGAAGATGAAGTCTCAGATCTCCTCTCCCAGAAATTCCCTGGGTTTGCAATAGTGGCGAATATCTATAGCTGCAGCATCACAATACTAAGAAAAGCAGAAGAGAAACGGCTGCTTGATGTCCATATTGGCTATCAAAAAAACCCTTGGTATTCTTGACACACACCCAAACCACAATACACCACACAGCTGACTGCCATGCAAAAACTAACCCTGCCATACACAAAAGGAGTGTCGAAAATGACAGCCAGAATTCTCCAACTCCTAGGAATAATGATAGCCCACAAACCCACAGCCACACTCCACCAGGAATTATCCAGAACCAAAGACAAGACACAAACGGATGAAAGAAACAATGTAATCTACAAAATCAACTGTAACAATTGCAACCACTTCCCCATGGGACAAACATCACATCAGTTAAAAACCAGGATCCACAAACATCGGCTAGCAGTCAAACGCCACGATCCCAAATCCTTAATCGCCAAACAACACCAGTTCCGATTGGAGCAATGCTAAAATCATCTGCCACACTACCACCTGCCACACTCGTGAGTTCATCAAAGCCTGGCACTCCACAAGCAAATCTATCAACAGACATATTGATCTACAACCAGCCTATGAACCCTCCCAGAATCCAGATCAATTGCACAGCCAACAGGAGACAACATGGACCCACAACCAACCCACACAAGCACCCTCTCCCCTCCCCTGAGCAGTCCACCTTCCAATGATCCTGATCTGAAGTAACCTCCCCATCACAAGACCCATCATAAGCCTCTCTCTGATGACTCACACCTGACCCATCACAAGACTCTCACTTGACATGCCCACACCTGAAGCCCTTATAAACAGAAGAGCACTGACACAGATCTTCCCCGCTGAAGATGTCAACTAGAGTGGTAACAAAACTTTTAGAAACCAACCCACAAGCTCAGAGAATGAACCTTCACCCTCAATTCCCTGGGTTTATACAACATAGTTTGCCTCTAACTGGGACAGTGATTTGGTAGCTTCCACTTTCACCATCTATCTTATAAGCAGAGTCACAACTAGAATTTACCTCCTAACCAGAGTCAGGCTTTGCTAGTGATTAAAAGGTCAAAAAGCAACCCACCCTCCCCCACAATAGTATATAGCTTAGGTGAGAGCCACTTTATCAAAGTGGTGAAGATACTGGCCTAGGAACTAGGAGACATTGAGTACTAGTCCTGCCTTAGGCATTAAAGCCAGTTGGGTGACTTTCAGCCAGTCACTGTACTCTCTCTCAGCCTATGACAGGCAAGCTGGAGGCAAGCTGATCAATCAATTCCTACTGCAACCAATGGATCAATGTTGGTTGATCTGAAAGAAGCAGACTTGCCAAAAAAATGCAGAAGAAAAAAAGTGAATATAGTTTGAAGGCTTGTGACTAGATCAGTGGTTCTCAACCTGTGGGTCGGGACCCCATTTGGGGTCAAACGACCATTTCACGGGGGTTGCCAAACAACGCAGTCCGCCATTTTTTTCCCCTTTTCCTTAGCTGTGCTACTCCCTTTTATTCTATTGGCTTTTGAAAGCCAATAGAATAGACTCTCTTGAATAGAGTCTAATTCTATTGGCTTTCAAAAGCCAATAGGAATTGTCCAGGCTGTCTCTGCCCTGCTGAGCCTGCCAAAAGTCCCATTCTGCAAACGGTGCTGCACCAGTTGAGTAGTCCTCGACTTACGACCTGTTGAGTAGTCCTCGACTTACGACCGGTTGGGGGTTGCGGCATTAAAAAGGTTGAGAACCACTGGACTAGATGATTCATCCTTCCTCATCTTGAAAACTAGGACAATCTCACCATAGATGAAATCAATCTTTTTTAAAAAAAAAAAATAAGTATAAAATATAAAAGATTTATTATAATGCAAACATTCAAAGATAAAAATGATAAATTTGAGAGCTGTACAGCTCTTTAAAATAACTGTATAAAATACTACGAAGTGCTTCTGGCAGACCACAAAATAAACCAAAAGCCCTGTTAAAAAGGGACTGGTTAAATGCTTCAAAATAATATTATAGATTATAAGAAAATCGGAGAGAAAATTTGATGCTTTTAAAAACTAAATATGACAGTCAAAACTGTAAATTGAAGCCTTACCCTTATTGTTGACAAATAAATAAAATTGTACCCACATTAATATACAGTAATGTGCATATTCAAAGGAATGGGATTTCAAACACATTGCAAGTGCCATCTTGATTTTTTTTTTACTATCCACCCTGCCCCATGGATGCCCCTCTGTATACAGAAATGAGAACATTAATTTGCACACATTGCTAAATGTTTTAACCTACTTTTTCACTAATAGTTGATCCTCGAAATAGATGCTCTTTCAAATTTTCCAGACTTTCTTTTTTTGAGATTCTAAACCTGTGGAGCTGGAAATACCATCCCTCCCCCCCCCCACACTCATCTTGGTCCACTGTTTTTCCCAGAGGGCTAGTTTTTGGATTAAAATAACTCACTTTTTCAGTCTCCTCTAGAGGAGGGGTCTGGTGTAGAGTGGGGGCATATCTTATTAGTGGAAGTTGAGACCCAGTTTGGTCTATGGTTAAGGTACCAGGCTAGAAACCAGGAGACTGAGTTCTAGTTGTGAAAGCCACTTGGGTGAGGGTGGACCAGGATTAACACTCAGTTGATCTGGAAAAAAAGTGGATCCTCTTGTACTTACATGATGAACATATTAGGAAGACAAAAAAGTCTTAAAGAAATGTATATTCTTCATTGGCCAGCAATAGGCATTATTTTGAAGGTCTGGCAGGCAGGCACATCCCTAACACTAACCAAAGAGGCATCCACTTTTGAAACCCTAATCAGATCCTACCCATCCCCTTATTATGGAGGCTGACTTCTCCAATTTTGCCTTGGGACCCATGCTTCAAGTTTAAGGTTGACTTCCTACCTTACAGATTATTTTCCAGATATCATTTTCCAGACAAAAGGAATAATGATATCACAGAGTTTTCAGCCCTCAAAGAAGACTTTGAGTGTTGTTGATACCATCTCCATCTCTACAAAAAGATGAAACACCCTATCAAAGTTCTAGTTGACTACAAGAAGTCAAATCATTTTTTTAAAAAGAATTTGCAAGGCAAGACTATTTTCCCAGAGATTTATGCCATGCTATGTCAGATAGGCCCAACCTTTTTATTGTTTTATATGCATTATTAGCTCACAGGATAATCAGGCAGATGTTTTACAATGTGAGACAGACTATGTCTTGCTTAACAACACATTTACCTCTCTATGACTTTGGTGGTCTCACTTTAATAGGCCTGTTTCTTCTTGCCATCACTGTTGTTGAGCCAAGCTTCTGACCAGCAATCCATCTGATTAAGGTATCCTTTCTGCACAGGTGCCTTGTAATTTATTTGGGGTCCCAGGCAGAGCTGAAAGCATACAATGAAAGGGCTACCCAGGTACAGAATGACAATGGCCGATGGATGATCCACCCTTCATGCCCTTTGGCAATTCCAGCTGCAATATTCTTTCCCCAGGTAGGCAGCTAGGATGAAAATTGAATCCAGCACATGTGCAGTTGCTGGAAGATTACTATTGTACCTGATTACAGTGTGCTCTTTAATGTCTCTCTGTGTGTGTTTTTTTAATATATGAGTTTGATTGCTAGCCGCCCAGGGTTATATTGTGTAAGATGGATGGCCATATAAATCTGAAATAAATAAATACTTTCAGAAACCACTTGCATTTCATCTTTGGTAGCAGTTCTTGCTTTGAAGAAAAGAGGAGCTGGTCTAGGAAAGAGAAGGGAGGTGTGTGCA